AAGGAGAAAAATCGCCCACTGTCGTTCCTGTTCCGTTCAATACTGGTTGCCCATGTACGGAAGCCATCCAGTCAGATACAGGCCGGCCGGGCAGGCGAACGACAGACATTGGCAGTCAGCTGACGGAGGCCACGGAGGTGCGCCTTCCTGGAGCCGCTGCAGTCTCTTGTTGCCACAATTTCCTTTCTTTCCTGTTGTCGAGCGTGCCTTTGTTCTGGGGAACGACGAAAAAAACGAACGGGTAACATTATTTTCTGCTTGCTTGCTTGGTTGACTTGTGTAAGGCCCGACCTTCTCTTGACGGACTGCTTCACCGGCAGACGACGAAAGCGAACGCGAAGTACTCGCTCTGCATCGGAAATTCTCCAAAATAGCAGCATCCGAATGGAGGACTATCACAAGGGCCGCGAGGAATACGTAATTTCGTAAGGAACGTATCCTCTTTCATTTCCATAGGGGGAGAAAAGATGATACCACCGGGCACGCGACGGCCCACAAGGCTATGTTGGTGTTGATGACGACGACGAGGTCGGCAGAAGGGGACCGAGCTAAAAATTCAACGAGATATAGCGACCTGCTCCCCGTCGGACCTCTCATTCCACGGTTCCCTCCAACGAGGTCTGTATAGCTCCACGTATTCATAGGTCCAGTGGAGGCCTCCGCCTCCTTGAATTTCATGGTGGGACTCTACCAATGATTGGCTAGTGGATGAAGGACGAAGGAAACATTCCTGCCTTGTTTTGTCGACACGCCTCAATAGATTTCCCTTCGAAGATTCCACAGCAGTGCGAAGGAATCGGCCTGAATACCGCCTCAGTGATAAGCATAGGACCGTGAGAAATATTCCGGATGAAGCCACGAGGAATGATTACGGAAGTGCCGACTGGAGGCGGGTTTCCCCCATAAACTACTGATTAATGACTCCCACGAGACGCCTGTCTCGATTGTGTGATTAGGTATGTTTGTATGTGTATAGTTGTGTCCGAAGGACGTTTATTGTACTGACGGCAGATGCTCTTATAAGGCTCGAATTGATCGAGCAGAATCGGTTCCAGCTTCTCGTTTGAAATCTCCCCCATCGATTCACTACGCAAGCTCTCATTAGTCGAATTCTCGGCGGTGGAGTCTGTGGAAGTTGTCGGGTCGTCTTCAGTCTCCGACATACTTAACGACACACTACCGCCTTGTACAGCGCGCCATCATCCGGCTCCCTCCACCGCAGTCTAGACAAAGCATGTAACCATGAAAGTTCTCTTTCCCTCATATTTCTTCCAGCTTCTCGATTCAGTAAGCAAATCTCGGGATCGGAAGCCCCCTATCCCGGCCCTTCAGGAGTAGTATTGGAAACTTCAACAGATTCGAGAATCCGAATTCAGACTCAAGTCATGTATGAGTCGCTCGATCTCGCACTGAGTTGGGGAGCTCCCTCATCGACGAGCCTAGGTGACCAGCGGAACACGCCGATATCCATGGCGAGGGAGATTATGTTGAGATTCGTGTGGAGTCGGTGGAAGCGACTCGGATCCCAGGAGCGTGATCCTCTGCGGAACTTCGAGAACGTCGGAGAAGTGCTTCGGACTTCAATCGATCTCGTAAATTCAATTCAATGTCTCCGCGATCCAGCGTCAGCAATTCCGCGAGCTCTCACAGGGAATATCGAGGCGTTCCGCATACTGTGAAAATTATCATGAGTTCATGCTGCCTAGGACGAGGAGAAAGAAATCGTCTCAGTCACGAACCTTCGCTGAATTCTTACAGGAAATTCTCGGTCGTCGCTGATTAGGGATTCGCTCGTTCTCCGTTTCGCGCAGGAACCCTCCCTTCGTCAGGATTGAATTGTTGAATTTATCCCTTTGTCATGCTCGACGACTCGGAGCGAATCGGGGAGGATCACAGCGGACGCCGTCGAGCAAATATACGTTGGCGTCTGTTGACCCGTGTCAGAAAGTCGGGAGGCTTATAATCGAAGGCAAGTATTCGACGACCGCCCTGAAGGAGACCGGTGCTCACGTATCAGAATCAAACTCAGAGCGCTAAACAGTGGACTGAACTGCTAAATTGCTCAATGGTAGATGTCGACCGATGTTTCGGTAGAGGCATTCGTGTCTCGTTTTCTACGATCGTTTGTTTCCTTCGTAAAGCTTCATGAGACTCGATAGGTTTGCGGCAAGTAGGTTTAACAGGAAAAACAATCGGAGACAATCGTAAATATCGCCGCTCGCACAGAGGAACCCTAGAATCGTACAGTTTTCCTATCAGACTTCTTCTCTCCAGGTCGTCGTTTTTCCTGCCGCCCTCCTTGTCTCGATTTGGATTCTCTGAACGTGAGACTCAAGCACACTCTTGTCAAGTTATTCTGTGCTCAGTACCTAATTGAAGGTTCCGGCGGTGTCGATTACTATTGGAAAACTCATTCTCTCCCTCGCAAAATGACGCATTCACGAAACTCTTCCGCACCGTCGCACATGCACGCTCATTTCCGCGCACTTGCCGCATAGGGGACAGCCCCCTACGGACATACACAAAAATCGAAACGTTAACCTTTGTACAGACATGGCCGAGCTCGCTTATTGGAGGGAGATGGGGCCGAGCTGCTTCTAATAGAAAACAGTCGCTTCCGGCAAACGGAACGGGAGCAAATGGCTGAGGAAAAAACGGTGTGAACCCGCAGACATGTGGAATGGACTCAAGGGAAACTGTAGGAGCGGCGGGCCGTCAATGGTGTACAAATGCAAACAGGGAACCGGAGCGGCGCGAATAGAAAGCGAATATTTGACGGGTGAATCCCCAACGGAACAGCTCGAAAGGTCGCGGCGAGCTCGCCTACAAATTCTAATGGGACGCATCACAGGTAGGTAGGTAGGTAGTTGATCTCGGAAATAAAACGAGCCGTACAAATACATACATATTCAACAGCTCCACCACTCGATCTGTCCATATTTCCCGAGCGGTCTGGGAGCAACATCTGTTGTCTCTGCGTCGAGTTGAATTCGTTCGGGACTTCAGACGGGGGATTGGTCGATCGATCCTCGAAAAAGGTCACCAGCGATGGTAGATCGAATCCCGGAGTCCAATTCAGTGAGTCCGATCGAACTTTATATGCAGACTGCCGCACTAGCAACACGTCGCCGAAATACGGATCTGAAGAATGATTCTCGACTACCGAACGGCGCCGTCTATAGAATTCTAATATATCATCGCACTATTGGCTCATTCCCATTTCCTTCATCATCATCGTTATCGAAAAGTGGTAAAAAGGATCCGACGAATATCTGGAAAACTTGGTGAAGGTTGTCACGTTTCATCTACTCACATATGATACAGGGCCGTGAGACTCGATGATGTCTGGTACGCATCGGCATCAATATGACGTCTCGCAAATGGTGTCTCGCTAGGGGTTTGCAAAGTAGGTTTCTCGTCCCGAGAAACTTCCGTCTACCTAATATGTACTGTACCACGTTCGTTCTCTCATTGTCATGCGTTAGACCGCAAATCACGCTCGCACTCTATCACGCATTTGGATCGAGTTCGAATAGTCTAGTTCGTCCTCTTAACATCTGTAACGTATTGGTCTATATACAACGCGACAGCGAGTGCAACTCTTGACAACATTCAAGTTGTGACTTTTGCATTTGCGATAGCGAAACTCACGCAGTCAGCTATCGGAACCAACCATGTAGAGCTATACATATATCTCTGGTAACAACTGGTAGGAGTGCCGAAGAGACGGAAAGGACGCCTGCGTTTCCAAGAATGCGTACGACCAGTATCTCATGCACGATCGTCCATCGGCGTCTTTCCGTTGAGTGTGTCTGTTCGAGAGTGTCGGTTCTTATGTTTGTTCCATTCTCCGTCCTCCTATTTGCATGAGATTTACTTCCCGTGTCTGTGAGGCTCCCCATGCCTGTCTGTGTGTGCTGTTTTGGCTAGTAAGTCGAGAGGTACTCCCGTATACGCAGCAATACGAGGCAGGACCTGTCCCTCTCATCATCGGACATTCGGAACTCGTCCATATGTATTCATCAATTCGGATAGGGCTTGATCTACTCCTCGTCAACCCCTCTCCGAATGCTAAACGCACCAGTTCTGCGGAACTGGTGGCTGCCTATTCGTCTTTTTTTCTGCCTACATCATTCTTTTCGTAGTCGTCGTTCGGATCCGATGTTGACATGTTGCTACTGCCGCGGCATATGTTGTCTTTCTGTAGTGCTCTGCAAGTTAGTGTTTGCTCCCGCGATCATTCGCTGGCATCGCGTTTAGCATAGGCCATTGACTGTTTGCGGCTGTTGACTTCGCTCAAGGTTTGCTCGCTATCAAGGCCTGCTTGCCTGCTTTCCTACTTGCTTGCTTCGGCGAAGCTAGCTCCTCCAGCGGGCATCTTCGGACGACTGACCTAGGGGCCGGTGGACCACCACGGGTACGGATCGTGCGAGATTCTCACTCGGGAGTATCAGCTGCTTATTACAATTATTAGGCGTACTACATACAAGCGGGCTATAGGCGTGGCGAGGGACGAGAATTCGGGTTCCGGGAGGTGCCACGGAGCGACGAGGGTCGAGGAGGCATAATCCGACCTCGGGAGTAATGAGACCGAGAGGACGCGGATTCGAGCGCTTACGCGGACCGCGCGAGAGCTTGGAGGAACAGGCGCGAGTCGGGATAGGAGAGCGAGCGCAATCGCGGGAATCTTCGAGAGGACATCGGTAGGTGTTCAAGTCGGGGTATATGTCCTGGAACCCTTCCAGGTATCCGCAAGGGTGTAGGCATGAATATTCGCTTTGGGGGATCGTGACCGAATTGAGGCGGCCGTGACTGGACGTGGATGACGGAGCGCATTGGGCTCGCTGCAGACAGTGCGCAGCGGTTTTGCTCGGGAGAATTCTTCTCGTCGGGCAAATACTAAGGTCGGCGGGTAGGCTAGCAGGGCACTTGGCAAGCAGATTTTTCTGGCAGATTCTCTCGACAAAAAGCAAGGTGTAGGAGAGCGAGGTGCAATGAGGCTACGGAGAAGGCTGAGCTGCTGAGGGCAGAACATCTTCGTCAGCGTTTGCCACATCGTCGAGGACCGTCAGCTGATGGACTTGCTTGATGAGACTGCTGATGCCGCCTCGCTTGAGGCAACAACGGCATAGTATCTTCTTGAATGCATGTCGGAAGTCCTTCGATACGAGCGCGTATATTAGCGGGTTCAGAGCGGAATTCAAATATCCGAGCCAAAAGAAAACGCCTGCAACGAATATACATGTCTATTTTAAGTCTTCGAGCTCGGTAATGTTCTTCGATGATTCTTCCAAACAGGACGGGGGCCGGAATACAGTATCGGCGGAAAGTTCAAAGACGGAGCAGGGACAGAATGTCTCTGAGATGGAAAATCTCTCGACCAGTTAAAGTGAAAGGATTTGCAACTTGAGGGGGAGGGCCCGCTCTTGGCGATTCGATGAGAAACGAAGGCAGAGCGAATGTAGACTCTGTGGTGAAGGGTTTTACTCACCAAACACGATATCATGTATGCAACTTTCGCAAAAAGCTTTCACGAGGTACACCGTGAAGAATGGAAGCCAACAGCAAATGAAGGCTCCTACGATCGATCCTACGGTTTTAGTAGCTTTGGCTTCTGTTCTAAATCTCCGTGCTTGCCAGCGGAGACTCTTCTTATTCGACGAGCTCGTCTTCCTCTGGTGACTATTCTGTTGCCCGTTCGTCTTTGCCGAACTGCTCCTTCTTTTGCTGCCGCTTCCTTTGAGGTCAGCGTTGCCTGAGCATTGTCCGAATCACAACCGGAAGGAAATCGGAGCGAGAGAGAGGAGGGAAAAGAAACACATTAGGAAAAGTCCGTTCTCGCATGTCGTGTGACTGCGGGCGCGCATTAATTTATTCACACGGACTGCGCCGGCCGAGTCCCGCCATCGCCGCCGACTGTTTCGCGGCAGAGGACTAACAGTTTCGAGCTGCTGACACGGCGCGGGTCGGGGCGGCCGGCGCTGCCACCAACGGTAGAGCAACCCTTTATCTAGCTTATGCAAACCGCTGGAACAAACTAGTAGGTGGGCAGGTCGACTTCACTAATAGACGGTACAGTGGCAACTTCGTCTTTCGGCGCTTGAGAACGGTTCCAGCAAGTCCAAGGAGGAGTCGACCGTGATCTCGGTGGTATGGGAATCCGGAGAGGAATAAAACGCGAGACGCGTTATGCAAAACGAGAATCGTGTCTTGGTGGAATGAGGACCGAGCAGAGTAGGGGAACGGGACGAGGAGAATTCGGCATGACAAGACCGCTTGCCTGTCGCCGCGGGAAGAGATAAGGAGAACATTCCTCGAGCATGAAGGCAACATCGAGGTGCATTCTGGAAGAGTCTCGTCACGCTCCTTTCTGCGGTTGTTCGCCCCCTTCCCCCACACTCCGGAGCAGCAAATGATGGTTTTAAGCGTCGTGGGAGCGTACAGGTGGACGTTTTGGACTTCGGCCCGTCGTTCGTCGGCCGTCGTTCCAGGGCGTAACGTCCTGCGAGGAGCCGCAGTGCGCCATTCGCTAGACTACGGTGCTGCGCCGCCGCGGTAAATACCCACGAAATTCCAGGTCTGGACAAAGGGTCCGCTCTCGCATCTACCTTCCCAGCCGCCTACAAACATATGTATGTACATTCAACCAGTCGATGGAATGTAGGTGTCTGGAACGCAAAGGACAAAATGAGCGATCAACTCACCCTTAAATGAAGGAGGCGCAGACCGTGTCTCTGGAACCAGCGAGTTTTTCGCTCCAGGCCTTCTACGCCCAGTTACAATGCCATCGACTATACAGGTCTCTGAGACTGAGGCCTGATTGGTGGCGATGGTCGACTTGGCGTTGCCTCGATGTACTCGCAAAGTCATCTGTTGCATCTGATTCGAGTTCGAAGATCCGCCCTTGTTCTTCGCGAGAATGAAACCTCGCTCAAGTGCCTGGCCCGTTTGAATGGCTGACACGTAGATGCGGTAGTTGAAAAACAACATGAAGAACATAGGTATGTAGAACGAGCCCATGGCGGAGTACACGACATAGCCGAGGCTGTTGACCAGACCGCATCGTGGATACTCGCATACTTCGCCCGTGTCGTCGTCGCTGCTGTTGAAGGCGCTCGCGTTACCCACGAGGCCGGCGGGCGAGTCGCTCTTATCGTAAGTACCCTTTGGCGATGTCGACTGAAGTGAAACCGATCCAGCGGATGCGTCATCGAGGTCGTTCCAGCCAACCAGAGGCGGAAAGCAGATGAGGAAAGCAGTCACCCACACCAAGACGATCAACAGACGGGCTCTCTTCGATGACATTAGTGTCCTGGAAGAAGGCGAAGGATTACAACTCCAAGCGGAAGCCGGATCGGAATCCATCTCGTCGACGAGCGGACGAGAAGCATGGCAGAATGTCAGACTGGACTTGCCTATACTTCATTGGTCGGGTGATGGCCAGATATCGATCGACTGAGATGGCACAGAGATTGAGGATCGATGAAGTGCATAGCCAGACGTCCACTGCTAGCCAGATTTTGCAAAAGTATCCTCCGAACGGCCAGGCCCGGAAAACCTCAAGTGTTATGGAGTAGGGCATGACGGTCAGCCCCACGAGGAGATCGGCCACAGCCAATGAGATCACAAAGTAGTTGGTTACTGTCCTAAGTTTGTTCGATGCCAAAACGGCCGCTATGATTAACACATTACCTGAAATCGAAACGTCTATTATCAGCGCTTTAATCGACAGAGCATCCAGAAGAATCCATTCTCATGGCTAGCAATCCAAGATGATTGGACATTATGAATTCCTGGGAAAATTACAGTCCACCGGAAGGGGAGCCAGCCAGACAGAAAGGCAAGCAGGGGAAATTGATCGACGTTTCACTAATGATTGACAAATCCCGCGTTACGGACGGAAAAACGCCGGCGTTCTCGAGAAACTTTCCAGAGCCGATGGAACACAGCCTTTTCTGTGCGCGAGATAAAAAGCTCGTGTCAACAGGAATTCCAAGAAGAGAGGGAGGCGAGGGGACGGAACAGGGGAAGCTTGCCGCTTATCGTAGCGCACCGTAAAGATAGTGTCCGTCAGAGTGAGATAACCCCGTTCCTTGTATGGGAAGTCTGTCTTCCACTGTTCCGGTCAGACTGCTCGTAAGCTCGTCTGGTGACGAGAAGTCCTGTTCCCCTCAACGGCGTGGCTTGCGACTGGGAGCGGGCCTCAAATTCGGGTTGGTTGGTTGGTCGGTCGGTCGGGCGTTCGCGGCTCCATTCGCTCTTTTGGTTCAGTCGCAAAGGAACGCCCATGACGGAGTTGGACTCAGCTAACCGCGTTATGGGCGTTTATACTTCGCTGTACTTGTAGGCTGTCGGTTGCTGTTATGTCAGAACCGGAACAAAAGCAACGGGAAGCTCGTAAATCATTCGCAGAAAGACTTGTTTTGCATCGCCTTACTCTAGCTCAATGCCATCTCGTCCATCTACTGGCAGTGTACTAACTAGCCTCTCATTCATGCGAAGGTACCAAAGCGCATATACGTTACCATCCACCGCCGAGCTACGTCGAATGACAACGGCGGCCGGCCACATTCCATCGTCAACTTCTGTCGCTCACTTTTCCTTTCGAGTTGCACAAGGCTCCTCTGTGTGAGTACACAGTCAGACAGATCCACACGGAAAAGCGGCTTGACAATCACCTAATGTAACCCGTGGAGAGCGGGGCTTCCTGCTGCCCACTCGACCGGCAGCCGTTTACATTCACCGTTCGCGAGATATGAGGAGCTGCGATACCGAGCAACAATCTGAACCATCAGCTTCCCTCATCCCGGAGGCGTTCATCCTTCCACGTATTAATAAACGTAGCGTGAATAATTCATTCAACTAGGATGCCGCGTTCTGACGGAGGGAAAAACGTTCAGTTGTGAGCTCGCCATCATGTGAATGCGGAAAAAAATACCGCTTTCACGAGTCCGACACACTCTCATGTGTAACATTGTTGTCACACGTACGACAGCGTGCGATTGAAGGCGGACGCCCACAGATTGAGGAATAATTCACATTGCGCTGCTCGCTGGTTCGCCAGCTCCTCCGCATGCCTGATAAACTGATGGCCGAACTGACGGTGGAACACCTGCCGTACAGGTTGTCTGTAATGCAACGCTGGAGTCCCCGTTCCGGAATGTTTGCTCGCGAAGTCTAATGCGATCCGCTTGTTCAGAAGAGGCGCGAATCAGTGGCGCGATTCAGAGCTTCCCGAAGCGAACCTTATCCTGCGGAGAGCGCAGCTCGCAGCCACAGAGTCAAATCCTCGAAAATAAATCTGTCCACAAATGTCCAATCGACGAGCGGACCGCGCAGATATGGATTTCGACTCGACCGATGTGTGAAGGAAGGTCGTCGAGCGCTCCGCTCGGCTATCGCGCTGCAGTTCCGACAGGCCGTGTAAACTCATGAAGAGAGCATTCATTCGATTATTAATGACTTCTGGAGTTGCACTGCGCGCCAGTCGCCGGATCCAATCAGACAATATAAATATAACGTTCGCTCCGCATCCGCGAGCGCCGATGCACGCTCGTCTTCCATCCGACTGGACTAAACGAGGGAGCTGCCGCTGCACCGGTGGAGCCGAAGGGAAGAGTGCGGGACTCCCAAAGATTCGCGCCCAGTGAGACCCAATGCAGCGTCGTCGTCGGCGGCCGCCCCATGTGGGAAGCTGGGTTTCGCTCGAGGGGCTTCTTGCTCGCCTGAGTGCAGACATCTATCGCTGGGCTGTCTCTCGATGTTTCTATCTCTGGTTAGGTTCCGACTTTTCGACGCTATAAATACCAACTTCGATCTATTCGAGCCGAAACAGCAACGGTTCTTTTCTTGTCTCCCTAGACACCGCCATCGCTCCTACTTCTGCTGGCGCGGCTAGTCCTTCGTTTGCTCCGATGAATGCGGACGGTAACATGTCCTTCCGGGGCCTTTCCTCAGCGAGCTATTCAAGCGTCAACCTCATTACTCGTTCCGGGTTTCGTGTGTCATTTGCTTTCGCCTCACGTGATTCTCTCGATTCTTCGTGGAAGAATCGCAACTTCTCCAGATGATTCCCAGATGCCGAAGTTCTCGTGGACCAATCGATCCGACATCGGTGTTCCTGCCGTGCAATCCGAGCTAGAATCAAACGTCAGTTTTTCCACTGCTCGAACGCCCGGAACCGTGAACGAACAGCGGGCGAGTGGGGCCGCTTCCGTTCCCCTCATTCCTCTCATTCCTCCTGAGTTTCGGTTCCTCGTTTGCGGTAATCACACTTTTCGAAGCGCCGCGTCATGCTCCCGGACTTGATAACAGTCGTTCACGGGCTAGCTTCGCCGAGAGCCGATAGCTTTTTTCCGCGCGAATAAATTGATTTTTTAGGAAGTGGGGGAAATATTGAGACGGATCTCGATTGAGGTGCTAGCTACAAGGGAACGGGAGGAAGAGAATTCGCGTCGTGGGCAAGCCACGGATGATCGAGATTCTTCCCGCGAGATCCGTCCCTCCAATTTTCTCAGCTGTATAATTTCCCGCGCTCGCACGTCGAAACGAGGCTGGTGTTTTCCAACACGCTCGAGGCTTTCAATGTCAGTCTCTAACGGTGCAGGGCCTGAAGTCGACGTATCCCTTATCTGTGTGTTCCCTCACGGAACGGGATTCCCGGAATGGAGCTCTTCGCGAACAAAATCGGCGAGTTCCAGCACAGCGAGACCTCACTTGAGAGTCCCGGACTCGTTCCGATTTTTCAATCCCGTCCTCGGATACTGACGAGTGAGTTCCCGTTCGTTGGAAACGGAATTTCCGCAGCGTCCTGCTCGAATGAATGTCCGAGGGACGCGTGTGCTGGATCCGAGCCTTGGAGGTGACCTTCTCCACTTTCAGCGCATAAAAGAAATGGGGTATACACGAGTGAAACTCGCGCTCTGAACTAACGGCGCATGCATCCGCCTTTGTTCGTGGGCGATATCCTCGGACAGAAGTACATAGAGTCAACTCCACGGCGCAAGGCAGAGAACTCTGGTGAGAGCTCGTTCCTGCAGACGGGCTGCCGGGGTAAGAAACTGTTCATTCTCACCGAATGCGGCCACGTTCTGAGCATATCTCCATCCTATTCCGTATTTTGAATCTCTTCTCCTTCGTATACCTCGAAAATACAATGGTCGCTTGAATAAAGCGAAGCGGAGGTTCCATCCTCGATTGGGCTCGCAGCGCGCCGAGAAAAAGGTCTTCCGACACTTGCGGCCTCCGATCATGGGATTGATTGGTCTTCACTCGAATATCCAACGAGGATCGGAGTGTCCGCCGGCTCGATCGAACAAGCGTCCACTCGTCGGAGACGAAGCGGACGGACTGGCGAGCGGTCTCGCGGTGGCTCTCGGTCCGAAATGCGGGATCGAAGCTGCTAAGCGCTATCTGGGTGTCAGCTTAGCGGAGTCGGGTCGACCTGCGCGTTTGACGAGAAGGGGAGCCCCCCACCCCCCGTGTCCGATCACCCATGAATCTAAATGGGACTCGCAGGAAGAGACGCACGCTTCGACCGTCGACGAGTCGGTCGGTCGGACGGACGAGCGTTCGCCGGTCGCTAGGAGAGAACGAGAGGGGACGAGGGCGGCCCGAGTTGAAGGGCAACAGGCTTTAAATAGCTTTCGATCGACAGCAGGCAAACCGATCTCGGTGTAGTGTCATTGCCGTTGCTTCGAGTAGTCGCAACAACGACGGAATCGCCACCTTCACTGGCGTCAGAAGCAGCAGCGAGAACAACAGCGGTTATGCAGTTGGAACGAATAATACGAAGGGGACGACGATCTCGTTGCATGGGATATTCCCCGAGTCTTTCTTTCACCTCCTTTGCGTAGAATGCTCCGGAGATTGCACGATAAAATTGAAGACTGATTCACGTCGACGTCGTCCCGTTGATTGTTTGTGAGCAGGGAATTCGCATCGGAGGTTGTTCGTCGCTGAGACCTATGCAAGTGACTTGTTATGCCGGAGGGGGAAAAAGATGTTATTCAGCCAAAGCTGAAAGGCGCGAACAGCGCTGCTGCTGCTGCTGCCGCCACTCTTGTTGTTCTCTGAGTGTTGTAGCCCGGAGCTCCTTTCTTTGTCATGGTCACGAAAAACTTCGAGCCTTTTGAAATAAATCGAGGACAACGGGATTTTCACTTGACGAAACGTGACTTCTCTACGGAACGATTCTGCGTTGTCGTCGTTTTCGGTGGCGGCAACGCCTCGCTCTCGGAAGATGGCCCGGATGGAGGCAGGAAACACCGTCGACTCGTTCTCCGACTGGGACTCACTTATAGCTCGTCAAACTACGATGTCTGGAATCAATGAGCCACGACGAGGATACCAGCGTTCGCCGATTCGTGACCATCAAGTTCTGACGGTCACATCGTTCGCTAGCGCGCTCATGTGTCAGTCTGTCTCCGTTGTATCCATCTAGCTATCTGTCTCTTTTTTCCCTCCTCAAGTGGTCAATCTCATGAAGACTCTTGGTGCTGATTCCTCGAGTGGGCAAGACCGCCGATGACCTGAGAGAAGGCGGTCGTGCTCTCGACGGGAAAAAATCGTTGCCTGCCTGCCCGACCACCCGCTTGCTCGCTAGTCCGGCTGGCTGGCTGTTCGGTCGGTCATGTCAACTCAGCACCTTTCGCCTGTTTCCTGCCCGCCTCGCTTCTCTTGTCCTGTCCTCTCGACCCTCAAGCAAGTAAGTGAGTGGCATCCAAGAGGCATTGAGTAGGCATCGGTCGGCTCATCCAACAAACGTTCATCGTCAGCTCTCATCCCTCGTTGACGTCACTTACGATCAGCTCGTCTCCCGAAATTATCATTGATTCACGAGCTCAGCGGATCGCCGTCGCTTCGTCACGGCGGTTTCGGTTTCTGAGGCTTCCCGAGTGAAGACAGGCGAATTTGATTAGAGTCACGCCCATTAGCGCTGCCTCGTCGCGTTCACTCGAATTGAAGTTCGCCTCCGAAACGAAGAGTCAGCACTTTCGGGCAGGTGGCACGCCGGTGTAAATACACACGTCCGGTCCTTATCATCACCAACAGAGCGGCGACGGCGGCAGCAGCAGGAAACGTGGGAAAGGCGTAAGTGGCAGGAACAGCAATCGCCACAAGGCGATCGTGTCGAGGGTAATCGCTGAGCCCTTCCGCCAGGTCGAGAATTCGGTGGGTTGGTCGGTCGCTCATTGCACTGAAGTAATTAGTGCTTGCCCCGCATAACGAGAGCACATGATCGATTCGATCGCAGCCGGCGAGGTCACAATTTCTACAGTTTAGGTAGTAGTCGCATACTCACCGAAAATCACCACAAAATTGATGACAACCAGCACAACAAGGGTTGCCAGAGAGGTCCAATTCCTCAGCTTCTCCCATGGCATACCTGCGATAACATGAGAGCATTAGTATTCTCCGATGGTCGTTCGAGGGAACGTCCCGCTCCGTCCACCGATATCTGTTGATATTCAAGGGGCTTCAAGTATGCGGTAAGTTCGATAGAGATGGAATTCCTTATCTGGGCTAGCGGCGAACATCACCGCCTGAGATCATCGGACACCGTCGCCCCCATGACACGGAGCTCCTCTAGATTAACCACCTTCCCCCCCCCCGGGGGGGCGAACGACTTACCTTCGCAGAATAGCCTCCCTGCCGTCGCAACGGGGTCTCCTAATGATTCTTCGAGGGTAGTCATACTGACGACGTTGACGCTGTCCCTTCAACTCGTGAGCGGTGTTGGTCCGGCTTGAAATATTCGCGGGGGAATTCAAGCCCATGAGGTGAATTGGCGGGCAGTGACTACCGCCTGCTTCCGTCGAGTAGAGCCCTTTATCGGGGCCGGGTTGCGGCAGCATGGCACGGGAGACACAGCGCCCGCAACGTACGACAATTGGGACATCACCTGAGAACGGAGATCGGAACGAGGAATTAATGCTTTTGGCTTCCTACCTCAGACATTCGACGATTCGGACGACCACCGGGGGGCCAGCGGCGTCGGCATGGGGGAAGAGGAGGGGGGGGGGATCGAAAGGGCTCACGCGAGTACGAGTTCAGCGCTGGCACTGCACTTCCTCTTGTTTAATTATCTTTCTCTGTCAGGAGTCTGCCGGCGGACTTCTTGCTGCTGAAGTGGCCATCGTCTGCAAGTGCCTCTTTGCGCAGTCGCCCGGAGCTGTGTGTTCGCTCCTCTGAGCGATGACTTTGCGTGAAGACTCGACATAAATGGAGAGATGCAAAGACTCGCTGCGTGGAATTGTATCTCGATTGTCCTCAAACACCAGAGGGGACACGGCCATCCAGGACTACCGAGCGATTTATGCTCCCCCTCGATCACTCAGTTTTCCGAAACCGCATCGTAACGGGATGCACCAGCAGATCACAAGGATAGCAATAACACGGAATTAATTTATCCATCTGCTCCTCCGAAAACAAATGCAGAAGCTCAATCTGCTTCGTATTATGCACCTCTCGGATAGATGGCTAGACATTACAACACATTGATGAAGCGTAGGCAGAGGAGCGTTTGTTGCGACAAGACAAAATCCTTAATAGTATTCTGCACATGGCCGAGTGGAGGGGACCGATAACTCCACTTGTTGTAGCTGCTGTTCGATCGCCGAGCACTGGTCCGGGAAGGCTGTCAGATCCAACTATCTTTCCCTCTCTGTTCCCTTCTTGCTGCTCATTCGGTCAGTCAGCTAACAGTGTACTGTAATGCGACCTCAATCAGCCCATGAAGTTAGTGAAGCATCGACGTAGCAGGAGGACCGAGAGGAGAAAAAATAAGAGCTACAACACGAAGAAAAAAGAATCTTCCGCTCAGATCATTAGTCTGCATCTGGCGCCTGAGCAACCCGTCCTTGTTCCTCCCTACCGTCGGAGGGACGGACGGACAGGCGGTCGCACGGACCGACAGACGTACAGACCGTCCGTCCGTCCGTCCGCCTGTCCGTCGGACCGAACACTCGGGATCCCCCTGTTCTGACTCTATCGAGGCGGCCCGCCTCGCCGACCGTCGCTAGACGACTGGCGGCCCAAGATTCGTTGAGCCACGACCTGATGCAAGAACCGAGCGGACCGAGAGACCGACAGGGCTACACGGGCGTCCGACCGTCCGTCCGTCCATCTATTCTTCCAGTGGTTCAGTTGCATTCTTAGTTTTGTTCGTCGGCTCGTTCAACCGTCCGTCCGTCCGTCCGTCCATCTTCTCTGCCACCGGCCCGCCAGGTCGGCCACCAGTTGCGTCCCACCACTCGGGGACTTTTCTTATTAATTCATCCGGACAAACAGGAGGATGAGGAATCGAAAGGTCAGACCTCGACCGAACAGTCGCTTCCCATGTCACGCATTCCAGCGCTCAGAACTCTTGACAATGTCTTCCGTGTATTCAAGCTCCAGAGACCGAGCCCCACCGCCTCAGGAAGTCTCCGTCCTGAATCGAGATGAATTTTTAGCAGGACACGAGAGCGCCACGGAATCAGGTGTCGAGGTCCTACATGTCGTTCGTTTCGAGGCCGTGCTTGCTCAAGGGCATCTCTGATACTGAATCCACGACCGCTTTGTTCCTGTTCCGGCCATGGTGGTCGCAGGTGCCCGGCGTTCAGCACGAGGTGTCCACTCAGCACCTCCGTGAGACGTGAGGACTCGGCGAGAAAGTCGGCGGCGGCTCGCCACTGGCTTTCGAGGCTCTTGCTTTCTCTCCTTCCTTCCGTGCAGTGCAATCGAGAGGAACAAACGAACGAACGAGGAGACATGGCGACCAAGCGACGTCACTTTCGCAAGAGTAAGAAGTTTCCCGGTCCTGCTGGGATAAACTCTGCGTGGACTTCGCGTCCAGCTCTCAGCCCCCGTGTCCCCTTTGTTTTTGCCCGCAGTTCTCGTGAATCGGGAGCCCGAGCCATCTACTCGAGAGTCGACATCTCCTCGGAAGTCTTGCGGAGGCCAATGCCTTGAGATTTCCCCGCATCGCCGATGAGGGGTCTCGACGACGCGGGCGAGGAACCACTCTGATGGATCCTGTGATTTAATGATCCCTTTCAGGAGGGATGGATCACTCCCCGATTATCTCTACTGGCTGAGATCGAGAATAGACTCCTCGCAAACAGGTTTACTGCTCCTTCCTGGAAGCTAGCTTCTTCTTGAGGCCCATTCGGAAGATGAGCGATCATCGTGTTTCCCCGATGAAATAGGAGTAAGACGAGGAACCAACGCGTGTCGCAAGGACTCCACAGCGTCCGAGGGAAGGGTAAGCAGGTCTATCCCAACCACTGTGGCTTGGCCGTCCGCCAAAGATGCGATGATGGGATATCCATCTTCAGAGTCTCGAGTGATTCCAATAACAGTGAAACAGTGAGTGAGTGATAATCTATGTCCGACGGTATTTCGTCGTTTTTCCTACGTTCGATGACGATTGTTGTCCCTCGATTCCGCGGATCTATTGCGTCATTGTCACCCCGGCCCGATCTACACGTGATGCAGAGAAGCCAATCGAGGAATGGTCAGCGGCGACCCCCCCCCCCTCGATCGCAAGCTACTGCGAGGGGCGATCGCTCGTTTGCCGGTGTAATTGAACCTTTGACGGTGGGCTCGACGAGGAAACGGTTTTCCGCGGCGAGTCCGCGGAACTGAGGGGCTACCCGAGTTTTCTCGCAACGAGCTCGCCCTGATAGTACCTGAACGCGAAGAGAGCACGTGTCACACGACCTTGTCTCTCCAACATCGGCCCGCAATCAGCCGTGGAAGATTCCGAACGGCAAGCTCAGCGGTCGCGTCTGCGATCGGGAAGTTAGTTTGCGAGTTTAGTCGAGGAGAGGAGAAAGACGATTTATGTAGGAGACGGGGGACCAATGCTCAAATGAAAGGTTCGTTCCAAGGTTGAAATCGACATTCGTTGTCGGGACGGTCTCCAGATAGAACATCGCAAATGGGATCATCCAGACGCGAGGGGAGCGCAAATAAATTTAATGGCACTTCCTCCTCATTCCCACCTTGGCAGCCTAATCTCGACCTTCCAGAAGTTCGACGGCAAAGAAATCACCTCGCCGCGCTAGTTTTTCTGCGGAGGGCCTTTCTGCCACCAGCCTCCCACCTGCAAGCAAGCTGAGCTGCCACCACTCGCTCGCCCGCTCGCAGGCTCGCTCGCTGGAGGCTTTCTCGTTGGCTGCTCCTTCCCGGATGTATTCGTTCGATAAGGACAGCGAGCGACAACGATTGAGATCGCAACTAAGACCCGGATGGGGAAAGCTGTTTGAGCTTTTGAATGAATGGTTTCAATAAGACCGGGGGATCATGCAGCTGTTGCCGTTACAACTGCTTCTGCTGCTGCTAAAGCCGCGCCGCCGTCTTCTTCGTTTTCATTGCCTATCGCCTTATCCGAGCCCGAAAGAAATCTTCGTCGAGACGCCAGGAGCGGCGAGCAAACAGTCTCTCGTCTTCGCGTGAAATCTCCCCGGATCGCTCGATCCAGTGACGGGATGATTTCCAACGGAATTCCATGACGATTCTCGGGTAATCGGGGTATACGACCGTCTAGGAGAAAGCTGCCGGATGTCTCAAGCGGAACAGTCTCCGGGCAGGAGGCGATTGCATCGATTGTCCAGAGAGATGAGAAGCTCCGAATCGAGGGTCCGCTTATCAGCGTAAACGGATTTTCTCGTTCCATTGTTTCGTTTGCTCAGACAACAACTTCCAGGCGGACTGCAAGGTTCAGCTAATTGCGATCGATCAGCGAGATTTCCCTATAACGTAGCGGCAGGTGGCACACGCATAAAACTGTCACAAAGGTTACTACTGCTCCCCGTACCTCGGTTTTATAGACAAGCCACCCAAAAAGGTTGCCGCTCTGTTTCGACACCTAGAGGTTTGCCTGGCGGCACTTTCGATTCCCCACGGCATCGATTCAATTCAGTCGGCCATTGGCGTAGGCGACATTGCGACAGACGGCGGATATCCCCTAGTTCAAGATTCGTGGATAAGCGTCTAATCTGCGAAACGCAGCTCACCTGGCCTAAGCGAGCGGGGGTGGAGCACGCCCGGGCATTGCAGCGAAAAGTGGACGGAGAGTGCAGAAACAAGCGAGAACGAGGAAATAGCAAAGCAGCTGGCGACTAGAAGTCATTCCCAAAGCAGGGCGAGAGGGGAAATAGCTTCCCGCCGCGACTGCAACGACCAACGGACGGATGGAGACAACTATGTCTTGGAGTGGCCCCACTTGCAATGCTCGTTTGATGGAAACTCGCTCAGATGGAAACTACTGCTACCGGCATAAACTATTCCCTCCATTCGATACGCGACGCAGGCGACTGGAAAATAGCAGTGGAACGAGCGGCCGGCGAGAGACGGAAATGTATTGGTACCTCAGGGGGTAAACGCAAATTTCATAAAGTGTAATCAATTCTAGCTTGATTCCCCTCCGGAACCGAGGCGGATAGGCTTTGTCGGCTCGCCTGTCTGCGGTCATCGGTCTGGTCGAATATTTTCTCCCGCTGTCCGTCTGCTCCCTCGGACGGTCGATCATTTTCTCCGAGTTTCTTCATTTGGCCTTACGCCGCTGCACCCGTTCGATGGTGTGCTCGATATTGCGTAGCCCTTAACGGAATCCTCTTTATCGAAAGCATATCCGTCACTGGTGCTTGAAAGCACCCGCCCACAGCACGCATTCCCGCGTCTGGCTCTTTCGGTATCCCTACGACGGAC